TGTTAGCTGAACAGGAAGGAGGAGTATATTTCTAAGGTACTCTCGATTTACTTGTAACTCTAAGGATAAATTTTTAAGATTATTAGTAAAGTATTAGGTCATTAAATATGAAATGTCCGATTTTGAATGAAAAATGTAGTTTATTATATCTCAAATAAGAAGCAATAAAATTAATCAAAGTATGTGCCTAAACTATCAACACAGTTTTGCCATCTTAACTGTAGCTTGTTTATGCCAGCAACAAAGAAGCCTGGAGAGTGAGCAGCGATGAAATCATGAAAGGCACCTTCCACATCTTGTTGAGAATTGAATATTTTTCTTTGCAAGAAGTGGTCCAAAGCCTGGAAAAAGTGGGAGTCAGTTGGTGCAAGGTTTGGTGAATAAGCTGGATGACAGAGTTTCCAAGTTCAGCTTCTGTAGTTTTATCACATTGTTTGCACAACATGTGGTCAAGTGCTGTCTTGCAAAAGGATTGGCCTGTCTCTACTGACTAATCTCAGCTGCTTAATTGCAAGTATCCTCATTTTGTCCAGCTGGTTGCAGTATACATCCTCTGTGATCAACTGACCAGGTTTCACGAAGCTGTAGTGGATGATAAAATTCTTGGACCACCAAACAGACACCATTAGCTTTTTTGGATGAATATTTGGTTTGACTGTGTTTCAGCACTTCATCTTTACCCACCCATTGTCCCGAACACTTGCGATTGTCAAAAAGAATCCATTTTTTCATCACATATAACAATACGGTGTAGAAATGGTTTGCCTTTATGTCATGACAGCAAAGAAAGGCAAGCTTTGAGACGATTTCTCTTCTGATGCTAGTTTAAGTCACGCAGAACCCATGTACCCAGCTTCTTTACCTTGCCCGTTTGTTTCAAATGGTCCAATATTGTTGGAATAGTAACATCAAACCTTGCTGCTAATTCACGTGTTGGTAGGATAGATTCGCTACCACTATAGCTTTCAGCTCATCATTATCCACCGTGGTCTCAGGTTACCCACGTGGTTCATTTTCAAGATTAAAATCACCAGAACGGAACTTCTCAAACCATCAATGTACTGTGTGTTCATTATTAGCCACATCCTTCCCAAATGCTTTGTTGATATTTCAAGATGTCTGTGCTGCACTGGTTGCAGTATGGAACTCATATTCAAAAATAACATGAATTTTTTACTTAATCATAGTTTCACAAAAATTGCTCTAAAAAAAATGTGAAAGATAATCACAAGCCAAAACATGAGTTTCCAGGACTAAGGATGTACTTCACAATAAAAATAAAACAAGTGTCAAAAGTGAAATGTCAGAGATATCAACTGTCAAACTTAAGGGAATCGGACATTTCATACTTAATAACCTAATACTAATGTGAAGCATCACTGATCTTGAAATCCTTCCTGTATAAGATGCTCTTCTTCTTCTCTTCTAATTTTACAGTTTTTAAAGATTCTACATTTGTATAATTTTCTCCTGTCCTCTTCCTAAAGCCCTGACTCAGACTCTCCTTATTTTAGTCTTGGGATGACCTAAGCCTTAGCCAGACAGACACACCTTAGAGTTCCCTATAAAAGACTTCTGGCAGAAGTCAGAACCCAGCATTTAAGAAGTTAGAATCAGTGGGTTTAAGTCCTACCTCTGCCACTTTCTAGATGTATAACCTTGGGCAAGGTACTTAACCTCTCTGGACCTCATTTCCTCATTTGTAAAACAGAGATAATGCCGCCTACAGAAACACCTATGACAACTCCTGGCACATAAAAGGCCAATTAATGGTAACTATCATTAAAGTCCAACTGCCAATTGCCTTACTTTCAAGGCTGTACTTTTCTAACTGGCAAAAGGAGTCATACTACTCCCACATTCCCATGCCTATATCCAAAACATTCCATTTCAGTAATCTATAATTAACCAAATCAAAAGCTTAAAACAATTCTGGGCAAGAAAGTGCTAACATGGCTCAACTCATTCTCTCTTGACAGCAACAAAGCCAGTGCAAGGTGGATACGTTTGCCAAAAGCAATAAAGAGTCTGTTTGAACATGGTCATTACTGATACTGACGTAAGCACAAACTAGTTGAGGTTCTCAGGCTTGCAGTCTTACTGTCAGGAAGTTTTAACTTTTCTGAAATAAATCCTCTCTTGTCTTGTTTTCCCTGCTGTACTCCAACACCCCTATCACCTATTTTCAAGAACACAGGGAAGAAATAAGTCCTCTCAACTACTGCTACCGCATTCACTGTGGAACTTATCTTCCCATTACACAAATTACTTCTTACAGAGATTTTTGGTTTACTGGGTTCAGTTAAGGTCAGTTTATGAAGAAGGACATTATATATAAATATATCATAGCCACAATGACAAGATCTAGCCTCAGAGCACCACAAGTTACAGGATGGAGTGGAGGTAGGTGCCAAAGATAAGATGTGACTGAGTAACCTGCACACCATATGTTCATTCTTATTAACTATTGCACTTGAGAATTCTGGCTCTTGTAAAAATTTCATTTCCCTTGTATGGCTGAGCAGAGTAACAGAACTAGGAAAACTGATGACAGATACATCAATGGAGCAAGAGAAACCATCAATGGAAATGTGACTTAAAGAAGTTTGTATATGACAGAAAACAAAAGCAACAGTCACCAATTTCATAGCCAAAGGTAGCTATTTCAATACTAGTATCCCTAGGCCCTTCATATGGTGTAACAAAAACAGAAGTGAGTCAAGGTCAGAATGATGATTTAGACAATCTAAGAATCAACAAAGGTTAACAAATCAAAATGTCTCACTGCAGTCCTTTGGTGAGGTGACTTTCAACTTGGGGAAAGAAGGGCAATCTTGGGTACTTATTTTCATTTAGCCAATCAATATTGAGAAAGTTAAAGATTCTGCCCCCAAAACTCAACCTAATGTCCTTCGTTTTGTCATCCAGCTGTATCCTTACCCAGAGCTTCACCTACTTTAACTTTCAACAGAGAAGTTGTTTTTTGGTGCAATTAACATTGTAAGGCAAGCTCAGCCCTGTCTTCTATAGCCTTGAGGCTGCTGAGTAAATCATGGATCATATATTTTGATGCTGAAAAAACAGGAAGAAGGTGGTTCAGCGACAAGGAAAATGGTCAAGAAGTACATCCAAGATTAAGAAAAACAGGCTCTGGTATGCTGGCCTGTGATTTTTTTAACTTCTTTATATAGAATCTATTGAATTGTGTGTACCTTTCAGAGAAGAACATGGTGACATGTACTTAAGCGACGATGGGAGAAATAAAAAAATAAATTCTTCATAATAATAATAGTTATTTCTTAAGACCCTACTATATGTGCCAAGTTCAATGCTAATTTACAAATATTTCTAATCCCCAATCATAATTAGTATTCTCATTTTATAGAAGAAACTGCTTTGTAGAATTTGGAAATTACCCAAAAATTAGTGGGGGTACTGAGATTCAAACCCAGGCCTGCCTGACTGTAAACCTCATGCCATAAAAGCAATTTGTTAAACACTTTTACCCTCAAGAGATCTAATCAAATTACAGATTTTAGACAAAAACATTCCTGATCACAAGAAAAAAACATGATCAACTATAAAGCATCTCAAATAGTCAGAAATATGCTTCATATTTCCAGACTCATATCTGGGAACTACCAGCACTGGTCCTGGTGCTGCCTCTTCCTACTGTAATTCCTCCCAGAGAAGTTTCATACTGCAAATGATAAGGACACTGTCATAAAGCATTGTCATACAAATTCCCTCAGTCTTGCCTCTGACATCTTTTATCACCTATATTTGGGTAGTTAGAATTAAAGTATTATCTGCTATATCTTAATCATGAGGCTGTTATAACAAAAAGTTAGGGTAGGTCCAAGATTCCAATTCAGCTGAGTCCTATACAGTAAAACCAATGCAGACTTCACATCCCTTTATTGCTGTTCTGATAAAGCAATTAAAAATCACAATAATTTAAAAAAAAGACATAAATCACTGTGTTCATATTGAGCCTAGGAAATGACAGCCATATTCCCTTTTTATACGACCCACATCTCTGTCTTTTTTCAATATTTATCCCTTTTTTTTTCCTGTGCTGATTTTGCTTTAAGAGGGAAAGAGAGACACACCATGGATAGCCAATGTACGGTTAATACCAGGGTGTCATACCTCGAGGCACACTTACTCCTTGGTGTTGTGAGACCTCCTCAAAACTATGTCTGAAAGAAACTGACACCTGAGACAGAAAGCCCCGCAATGACTGCCTTTCCCAAAAGGAGCAGCATTTTTTCCTAAGGCTTTCATACTATAATAAAGGGACCAATAAAACATTCTCTTCGTACACAGTCTAATAATCATGGTAACCAACTACGGAGCAGGAAGGACCAACCTCTTAAGATAAAAGAGTAAAGAGAATCTCTCCATTAATCCTTCTACATTCAGAGAAGACAGACTATTGCAGTAACTAGAAATGAAAGGCACAGCATCAGCACTGCTCTGTGGAAGCGGTTGGCCACAGAAAGGGAGAAAGTCATCAACTGTACAGAAACCAGACAACTCTGAGGATTTCAATGCAAGACAACTACTGCTTACTCGTTCTATAAGTAGAAAAGATCTTTTCACTCTTATTGCCGGGAGAACTGCAGTAAGCGGTAAAGTTTTTCTATGCCACTGGGGTCTTCTCCCCGAATAATACGGAAAATAACATAGGGGAATGTGCTGGCGGAGCGGGACGTAGTATTAGGTGCCTCTCCTGCCCTGCCTATTCCAAGTAGTAGAGGAGAGCGCTACCTCCATGTTATTCATAGCGAAGTACGGCCGTGCAACCTGCAGTCTCCGCTCCCCAACACTGGGGGCCCGTGGGGGCATCTCTGAGAAAGTGGGTTTGAGGGGACAAGGGGCCTCTCTGCTCCTGTGAGAAGGGAGGGCATAGAGGGTGGTGCCGCTGTGCGGAGAGGATCTGCGGTTCCCCTCCCTCCCTCCTTTCCTCTCCTCGAGAGGCAGCCCGGCCCCAATACCTTCTTGACTGTGCGCGGCGCCTCGGTGACGGTGCCGTCGGGGCTGACGAGGCCCTCGCCGCCGTCGCGGTGCCGCTGGTGCTGGTGATGCGGGTCGCTCCGCTTCATGGCCGACGCTTGAGGCACCTTCCCGGCGGCAGGGCTGAGAGCGGCGGCGGGCCCCGAGCCAGGGCCAGGAGCCGGGGGCCGCTCCGCGGCGGGAGCTGGAGCCTCAGGGTCTCCGCCGCCCGCCGGGGGGGCCATGGCGCCCACGGCCGCCGTGCTCAGTCCTAGTTGCGGCTCCGCCTCGGAGGGGCTCAGGTCCTTCAGCTCCACCTCAGGTACCTTGGCAGGAGCCGCTGCTGACACAACCTGCACCGACATCACCGCCTCTGCTGCAACCGCCGGCTCAGACTCCTGATCCTGCTCTTGCTCGGCCCCGCCTCCCGCTTCCCATCCCCTTCCCTCCCCCATTCCCCCACTCCTCCCCTCCATCGCCTCCGCTCCCACCCCCTTCCTCCGCCCGCCAGCTCCGGCCTCTCCAGCCCCGCCCCGCCCCACCCCACCACGGTCTGGTCCGGCTCGCGCGCGAGGCGCCACGGTACCTGTAGTGCGCTTGCTCCGGGCCGCACGCGGCCAGAAGACCGTGGGACCTCAGCCCCCGACGTACACTGCGAGCCGCGGGGCCTCCTGGGAGTTGTAGTCTCTTTCCGCCTTTCCTCCGGAAAGTGGGAATCTTTCGCGGAGAGGGATCTGTAGGGCCGGCGACTAAGGGGAACAGTGAGGCTAGGTGACACGAGGGAGGAGATGAGGAAGAGAAAGTCTCCAGGGGAGTTGTGATTTCCCCGGAGGGAACGCCAGAAACCTCAGGGGTGGGAAAGTGGAGGAGGAACGACTGGTTACCCCGACAGCGTGACTTTCCTCCGAGTGGGCACGTCCTCGATCACGTGAGCGGACATTTAAAGGAGAAGCGGCGGCTCCAGGCTTAACGAGGCATGATTTTTACTTTGTGAAATCGGGACCCTAACACCTTTCCAAATTTTAATGGCTTTGTTTTTAGAAGGAATAAAATAATACCTTGCCTACTGTGACGATTTCTGGCACATGCTAGGTTTGGAAGCTAAAATCAGCCCCAAAAGAAGTTAGGTATCACTAGGTGCTGCGGTCCCCAACGTTTTTGGCAACAGGGACCGGTTTCATGGAAGACAGGTTTTTTTTTGGGGGGGGCGAGGGATGGTTTGGGGATGATTCAAGTGCATTATAATTAGTGTACAGTCAAACCTCTCTGCTAATGATAATCTATTTGCAGCAGATCCCCAGCGCTAGCATCACTGCCTCAACTCCACTTCAGATCATCAGGCATTAGATTCTCACAAGGAGCGTGCAACCTGGATCCCTCCCATGAGAAGTTTACACTAGGGTTCTTGCTCCTAGGAGAATCTAATGCCTCCACTGATCTAACAGGAGGTGGAGCTTATGTGGTGATGCGAGCGATGGCAAGCGGCTGCATATACAGATGAAGCTTCCTTCTCTTGCCCGCCGTTCACCACCTGCTGTGCGGCCTGGTTCCTAACAGGCTACTGAAGGTACCCGTCCAAGACCCGTCTGGCCAGGGGGTTGGGGACCAAACTAGGTGGAAATTCGAGGGCTGAGAAATTACATGTTACATTAAACAAGGCCAAATTTTTTGACGTATAATTCTGCTAGGGCAATAATCTGAAATTCAGATACGTATATAAGCATAGAGGAATATTAAGTAAAATATGAATAATGATTTTCCTAAGTGATGGGATTTCGGGTGATTTTTACTTTCCTGTATTATTTTTAAATTTTTACATTTATTTTAGCAGGTCTAAGTACAAAGACGTGTGGCAGTTTTATTTTTAATAACAAAAAGCTGTCTGAGGCCAGTGGCAGTGGCTCACGCCTGTAATCCTAGCACTCTGGGAGGCTGAGGCGGGTGGATCGTTTGAGGTCAGGAGTTTGAGACCAGCCTGAGCAAGAGCGAGACCCCATCTCTACTAAAAATAGAAAGAAATTAGCTGGACAACTAAAAATATGTAGAAAAAATTAGCCGGGCATGGTGGCACATGCCTGTAGTCCCAGCTACTTGGGAGGCTGAGGCAGGAGGATTGCTTGAGCCCAGGAGTTTGAGGTTGCTATGAGCTAGGTTGACGCCACGGCACTCTAGCCTGGGCAACAGAGTAAGACTGTGTCTCAAAGAAAAAAAAAAAAGAAAAGAAAAAGAAAAATTAGTCGGGCATGGTGGTGGTACCTGTAGTCCCAGCTATTCGGGAGGCTAAGACAGGAGGATCGCTTGAGCCCAGGAGTTTGAGGTTGTCGTGAGCTAAGCTGATGCCACCACACTCTACGCAGGGTGATAGAGTGAGACTCTGTCTCAAAAAAAAAAAAAAAAAAGCTGTCTGAAACTAGTGTGCAACAACAGGGGAATGGTTACAGCCTTTGAAAATTGCTTGCCAAGAGTTTTTTAAATAACAATGGGAAACAAAATGCTTATGATAAAAATATTAAGCTAAAAAGCGGGAGTCAAAATTACATATTCCATAAGATTTTACGTAAATAATATTTTTAAAAAAACAGGCTGGGTGTGATGGCTAACTCCCGTAACCCCAGCACTTTGGGAGGCCAAGGGGGGCGGATCGCTTGAGGCCAGGAGGGGTGTGAGGGTGAAAATGCGGGTTGCCCACCACATAACAGAAACACTATTGCTAGTCTGGAGTGCTCAGCAAAGTAGACTAGACAGGAACCAAGGTAACTACTGGGTGGGGTGGGTTCCTGCACTTTCATGCCTTTGAAATGGCCAGTACAGACTGGCCCTAACTGCTTTAGGGCTGCTTTGGCAGTCTTATAGTGCCCTTTAGCTAACTGTAATACTAAAATCCCTGCCTGGTGGAAAACTGTAATATCATTAACATAACATGGGTTGCATGACAGTATATGATGATGGTACTGTGCCCTGTGATTTGTTTCACTGTAAACAAACAAAAATACAATGTAGGCTGGGCGCGGTGACTCACGCTTGTAATCCTAGCACTCTGGGAGGCTGAGGTGGGTGGATCGCTCAAGGTCAGGAGTTCCAGACCAGCCTGAGCAAGAGCTAGACCCTGTCTCTACTAAAAAAAAAAAGAAATTATTTGGACAACTAAAAATCTATTATATAAAAATTAGCCGGGCATGGTGGCGCATGCCTGTAGTCCCAGCTACTTGGGAGGCTGAGGCAGAAGGATCGCTTGAGCCCAGGAGTTTGAGGTTGCCGTGAGCTAGGCTGACGCCATGGCACTGTAGCCCGGGCAACAAAGCAAGACTCTGTCCCAACAACAACAAAAAAAATACAATGTAAAAAATTTGCATTACTCATTGGGAATAGATTTAAAGCAACACCACAGGGTGAGAAGATGCAGATTTTGCATGCCAGAAAGCTCCTGTGGAAGAAAGTTCTGTGTTGCCCAGGAGCAAACACCCTAATAAGTAACCTCTAATAAATTCATTTAACTCATCAAGCTGGTCTTGTTTGAGTCATTATTTGGTGTCTTTGTTCCCTCTCAGTTTGGGGGACAGTATTTCTATACCATACTGGGATTTCCCAGAAACAGCACAGTGGTTCAGGCCTGTAGTCCCAGCTACTTGGGAAGCTGAGGCAGGAGGATCACTTGAGCCCAGGAGTTCCAGGCTGCAGTGAGCTATGATTGTGCCACTGCACTCCAGCCTGAGGGACAGAGTGAGACCCTGTCTCAAAACACATACACCACACACACACACACACACACACACACCCCAAAGAAAGTACAGTTGACTCTCGTGACAGTTGTGGGACAGTTTTTTTCTTCCCTCTTCTCAGAGAAACAGAGGCAGAGTGGATCTTACAGTTTACAGCTGTTCAGAGAGTGACAGCCCTGACAACACAGGCAGGCCACTGGACATCTAGTCTTTGAACATCTAGTCTTTGGAGTAACTTTTTTCCCAGGCAAGAAGGAGCAAAAGGGAGAAATCATCTGCCTTGATCTTGTCCTTTCCTGTGTTACTACTATCTTGCAAATCTATTCACTTTGTGAAGTTGTCCTACCTTGAAGGGAGTCTTTCATTTCCTGATCTCCAAATTTATGCCTTACGCAATGCGTTGGAAGGCATCTGAGCACTGCTGCTTCCACAAAGCCCACAAATCCACCAGACACAAGAGCTTCTTAAGCTTTCTCTTCACATTCTGGCTTTCAAAATTTCCTTCCTGTTACAAAGAACCAGCCCAGAGTTTCATCCTCCAGCTGTCGAGGCAGAGATTAGCAGCTCTATAACTGATTTCTTTCTTCCCCCTAATGCACAAGGGAGCTGTGGTACAGCCACCTGGCATGTGTTAGAGCTCAAAGGCAGCAGCTGCCTACCTGGGCTGCCAATATAATTGATTTCAGAGGGGATGAATTAATTCTTCACTGGGATATGGTTATAAAACAGAAGTTAGAGCACTGGAAAGAAACTGCTATTCATCCTTTATTTATCCAGGTACCACCACTGATTGGGGCCAACCTTCAGGGCATACTCTTCACCCATTCTCAACTCCATTCCTATGTATCTGCTGCTTCTGCCATCTTTGTTGATGAGTGACACTAGGCACAACTGAAGATCTAGTTACCATCCTGGAAACGGTATGGTAAGTAAGCACACGTTTATGAACTATTTTATGAAATATTTAGCCTATGAGTCTTCTTCCTTTACCTAGCTCATTCATCTTCCAGAACCCTGGCAGGCAGGAATGTGTCCTCCATGCAGGAAATCAGAAGAACTTCTCTCAGGTATCTGACCAGTACAAGAGAGAAAGCAAAGATGCTTACACTGAGTTTCCCCAAGGAAATAGGCCAGCCAGATCACCCACTGTGAAGACCATACACATGTTCACAGTGCTGCTGTGAACCATTTAATGCCACACTCTAAAGTATGAGAAGACAGCCACAGTCACCAGACATATGAAGAAACCTCTAATATGAAGAACAGAGACCAATGTAGACAAGCAGAAAAAATAAATAAATAACTTGGAGGAAACAGAGGCTATGCATCAAGAAGAAAACAAAAATAAAAAATCACTAATATCCTCAGGGACTTATAAGATAATATACTTGTTAAAGAACATGCTGGGCTGGGCACAGTGGCTCACACCTGTAATCCCAGCACTTTGGGAGGCCAAGGTGGGAGGATTGCTTGAGCCCAGGAGTTTGAGGCTGCGGTGAGCTGTGATCACACCACTACACTCCAGCCTGAGCAACAGAACAAGACCCTGTCTCTAAAAAAAAATTTAAAAAAGAACATGCTGTTTGAAGAAGTAAACATTCAAAAAATAAACCTTTAAATGACCTTTAAATAGATCTTTAAAACGAAAGCATGCTAGCAGAATTTTT